CTTAACGGAATGAAAAAGGAAGGCAGAGGAGAGGTAAGAGGTTTTGGTAGAAATTATCATCATCCAATGTCGGATAAAAGCGGTTTTATTGTAAGGGTGTTTGAAACAAAAGTATTCTGTATTTGGTAAGAAAGTAATGTAACGCGGTAGCTAACTTATGGTGGGAACTAGGCACTAACGATAAGAAACGAACCGAGGTTTCAAAACAGTTTAGGGTTTCCCAGTCAATTGATACAGATTTTTCAGCGTACTGCCGTTTGGTCTTCCTTCTAATATGACGGTGCACGGTCATTTTAAGCAAATATAAAAGATTCCTGTGAAGTATTTTAAACCAACAAATCACTGAGCAAATTGTTTTCAAATTAATGATAATGTTCTCGATTCACGCAACCTTGGGTTATGGTCGGACAGTTTAAAAGCCTAGACTGGCCTTGAAAGTTGTGGTAAATCTCCTATCCTGTCATTCTTTAGCTAGTTGGTCGCTTACGAGTGTTTACTAGGGTTTGCATTATTCATACCATCGAGTTCGTTTCAAAAGTTGCTGTGTATAAATGAAAAATAACTTAGTAAAGTTAAAAGAGCTTTAATAAATGTTTTTCCATTCCAATTTCCTAAATTTTTTTTGGGCGTAATACAGCTTCATCCGTTTCATCTCAGTGTTAAGCACTATTTAAAAGCATTAATTTTATCCTAGCTTTTCCTAGTCACATGCACTTTGTTCAGTCTATATCTCAGAAATTTCTATATCTCAGAACTTTTTTAGTTCCGCTAGTTGATTGAGCTTGCCTTTAGAAATGAAAAATCGAGGAAGTAACTTAAAAAGCAGTTCACTGCCAATTTATTTCCCGCAAAAGTTGGAAAGCAATAATGGATTTTGACCAGTACGGGTATAGTCTAGAACTTGTAACTATGCAGAAGACTGGTAAATTTGGAAAATTTTTGGCCAGTTCATTATCATCTGTCTGCTACTTTTAAATGAATGTTTAAATGCATTTTGGCGAAGTTTGAGAAAAGAAAAGAAAGTTTTTACAGAAACACTACGAAGATATGTAATATGCAAAGTTTTATGCCCTATTAGTTGCCAAAAGCTTAAGTTGGAGGATCAAGAAGTTCGTAGCTTATTATTATCAGAGAAATAAAAACTTAAACTTTGCTAAAAACTTTGGTGAAGTGTGTTGTTTTATTGTAATGCCACTAACCGATCTCCTGCAGCCACTAAAGCCAGTTACCTAACTTAAACGGCGATGTCTTCAAGTTCGTACGGGCTGGTCACCTGTTCAGTGTGATAATTGAATGACAGCCTAACTTTTGCGACTCCGTGCCACTTCTTATCCAGTAATTTGCAATTTTATTGAGTATGGGAGATGTGATTCTAATATTTGTGCGCCATAAAATTATTCATACTATACGGGTTTTTTAAATCTGAAGAACGGTTTTTCAATGCTTCTGAAGGAACTTTTTTCTTGTGTACCTTTCCTCGCTATTCATCAGATTTTCTTCTCGCAGTTTTCCCAGTTTAAGTGGGGGATACTCTGGTGGGAAACTGAATTTTTAAGATTTTTTTTATCGGTTTTTCAAATTCAGCGCCAGAATTTACTAAGTAAAAAAATTTGAAAAGTTTGAGATATTAATTGAAAAAGGTTCAAGATCTGTCGTGGAACTTCCCATCTTCATTCATAAGTTGGCATGATGGTGAACCTATTTTTACATCTGACGAAGCAATAACATTTCGAAGGAATTGGAAGTAACCAGTACAGAACTAAGTCCTAATCATATATACCTCTGCAAAATTTTCTATGCCGCTTAGCAGTGATCTTCAGTGGCGGAAAAAAACTCCCTTTTCGCCTGAATACAGCTAGGAGAGCGACTGCGAGATAGCAATGAAAGTTTTGAGTGCAGTGAAGACTTTGGACAATGGCCTAACGCTCAGAGATTAACGCTCAGAAGGTTAACGCTTCATTGCAGTGAATTGCAGTTCTTCAACAAAAGCAACGAGTACAATTTTTGTAACTGTTTCACTAAAATTTAATTTTTCACTAGAGGCGTTAGACTTGTCCCGAAAGTTAAATCTCACGCTTCCAACATTGTTCGCCCACAAACATTCTTCTTCAATCTCAAAAGCGTAATAGAGCCAAGTGCAGAATTGAAGAAACAGAAGAATTCTCCTCCAAAAAATCGTTTACAAGCAAACAAGAAGCCTTAAAGCGAACAGAAATTTAGGAGTTCTCACCTTAATACGTATTTTTTAAAAGTCTATTTATCTAACCATTATCTAGTTCACAAAAATCCAGCAACACTGGCCTCACATAGCAATGGTTTCTCGTATTTATTAAATCGCAAGAAGTTTTTGCGCAATACAGACATTATTTTTAAAGAAAAAAATGTTCTGCAGAATTTTTTGGTTTTTATGGTAAGCATAGTTCAAATGCAGACACATTCTGTGACCTACAGTTATAATCAGCTCTATTGCTTTGACTGTGCTTGCATAGCACTATCAGAAAAACTATGAACGTAATATTTGTACGTCGGTTTAATCACTCAACCAATGTGAACCCCACCTAAGGTAAACTTCTCTGTCTCTTTAATCTTTTCTCGGGTTCTATAAACCATAGTTTCAAGAAGATCTATTTTTCACTGAAAAGTTCCAAGGATCCTGGCGAAAGGCCAACTGCCGGCAACCACAATTTCGCTGCGTCCAAAGACGCCGTTAGTTTTACTTCTGTATTCCGCTCTGATAGCTGATCTTTGATGTTGCTAGTCAGCGTATGTAACTAGCTAAAATAGTAATTCTTCTTTGACCTGGCTTTCGACGAAGTGTATGTGTTTAGAAGTGCTGTTGTTACCATCATAAAACAACATTTGCTAGATGTGTTTAGAACAAAATGTGATTTGTATAGCTTTTTCGCAGTCAAGGTTGGAATGGCTTTTGGTCATGTGCTGGTGAATTCCCAGCCTTGTCGTTTTAAAACTTTTTGTAGACAAGGCCAGGCCCAGCATTCTATAATACTCACTCAAGTTTAATTTCTGTAACTAAGCTTGCGATGAAATTGATGGGTTTATAAGAAATAAGATAGTGGTGAGTTGGCAATAATCCGTGAACAAATATAGTGAAAATAAGTTGCATGGTACACTCTCCAAAAATAGTAACGCGATTGCAGATAGGAGCTCTCCTTCCCAGAAGTACTTTTTTTTGATCGTTAACCTAACCTCATTTGTTGTATACAGGGTTTCCACCATTTTATAATCTATCTGTGATAGCTTTAGATCCGTCTTTGCAACTTTTGCTAACTTGCTAACGGTGTAATGTCAAGTATGCTTAATTCTCCTGCTATTTTACAAAGATCGGTTTCATGCCAGCAGGTGATTTGACAGATAAATAGTACAGTCAATTATCAACCCAAGAAATGTGGAAGGTTAAAATGCGTTTCCCCGTGCAGTTTGTTTACTTACATTTTTTGGCCCTTTTTTAATCTAGCTAGGAATGCTCGTTTAATCATAGCATTTTAATTGTGTACATAGAGCTCGATAAATCGTGCTAAGTGAGCTTATGTCTTACGGGAAGTCTGCCTTCACTATTTCGTGAACCTCTCCGGCTGTCTTTCAATTTAAAAAACTAGTCAAATATGGGAAAAATAATCTTGGGGAAAAATCTTCAACAGAGATGAAGGGGAGGTAAGTGCAGATTATGAAAGATGCAATACATCCAAAATGAGGTTATAGAAAAATATAAAATAGTTGAAATAAAAATACGGTAAAAAACGTGAGAGAGATAAAACAAAATTTGAGCTGTAGAATCTTGACAGTTAAAGATTGTTCCGTATCTCTGCATCGACCATTTTCTGTTTTATATTGAAGCAGTTTAACTGTATCACATTTTTTAACCTGTGGTCGCGTTTCTTCATTTTTGTTAAAAGATTCTTCTTAAGGTTCCTTTTTTTCGACTAATTAGTACAATTGTCGAATTCTATGGAAACGATAAAGCGTTGACTAGATGATTATTTTTGGAAAGGCCGGGAAACAGTCAAGAAATGTGAGTAGAAGGATTGTTCGTGGAATGGATTTGAACTTTCCAGATTCTTAAAACCGTGGTTACGAGACTCGTATTCCATCCATCAAACCACCCGCTAACGCAAAAATTTGTGAGATGGCAAAAGGATTAAATCGACATTTTAGCATTAAACCATTAGGAAATTAGCAAAAGCCACATAGGCAAATCTGAAGCTATTACAGATGACTTAGGCGGTGTGGGCAACCTCTTATAAAGAAAAAAAGTCATGTTGACGGTCAAAAAAAGCATTTTTGGAGATGGGTCCCTTTACCTACAATAGCGCTAAAATGCCTTTCCTGCCAAAACTTCTTCTTCACTTCTGTTACAGTTCAGCAAGGAAGTAGAAGTTCAGGGAAAATGAAAGAGGTAGATGTAAACAACTACGGTTTTTCGCATTATTTTTTTATAACTAATTTATTAGTTGAATGGAATGTTATACACTTTTTGGAAATATCCGCATTGCAAAATCGTATTTTAGCACTAGGCTACTTTGACGATCTAAGAAACCCATCAATTTGACCAAAGTTTAATAATAGAGCAGTTTTTTTATGTGATGATGCTCGCAATTTTAGGGATACTTTTGCAGTTGGTGGGTAGGCAAACAGTCTCAGCAGCTTTGTTCTGTAGAACTTTAATTCTGAAAAAATTTCTTGATTTAAAAAAAACGAATCCACTGTATTAGAATCCCTAAGTTACGGTTAGATGTGGGATTGGCCATGCGCACTGACTGCAAAAGTTTAGCCCTGGTGATGGACCAGAATATCTATAACTTGGATATATGACAGGGTAAAAATCCCTTGCGTCCGATACGAATGTCTTCTCGTTATTTTCAAAACCCCTACCTGAACTCTTGGGAGGACAGTGCTAAAAAAGTAAGTTCTCTTGAACTCAGCGAGTTCTCATGTAGCTGAGCTGTATTGTCGGGTAGTTGATTCTTCTTTTTTTTTCACAACTTTACAACTTTGAATTTTGTTTTATTGGCTGAACTAGCAATTTCAAACTGTTTATGGAACATATTTTTTTGCACCCATTTCCGCTTTTTTTGTTCTATGTGCTTTGAATATTTAGTTAAAGATGGAAGTCATTTGTCTATTTCAGGTGAGTGATGAGTGGCTTAAAGAGGAAGCAAGCCGTATAAGTGAAAAAATCCTCCGTGCTAGCTTTACCGACTACGATGCATACACCGGAGCATCCGGGTTGTGTTATGGTCTCCTTAGGGTGGCGGAATTGATTCCAGAAGGAAGAGTGGGATTCTTCAATTATTATAAAAGAGTCTTGGAACCATATTTGAAAAGCGAAGTAGTAGGTGTTTCTTCCAATTAAGAACACTTAATTAATTAAACGACGCCATTATGTAGTAGAAACGTTATTCGTAGCTTTGTATTTTAGGAAAAGAAGTTACACGGCCATACGTCTAAAGTACAGTCTCGGTATTTGTTGGGTTCACTGGGGTCTTTCGTTATTGGGATTCTTTGCGAATACGCAAACGGCTCACCTAATGAGGGGTACCTAAAACGTATCAGAGACATCGCAGAAGTAGTTCAGCAGGATGGGTATCAAGGGCATGGTGACGATGAAATGCTAGTTGGAAGAGCTGGTTATTTAGCTGCTATTCTGACACTAAAGTATGTGCTATTTTTAAGTTTTCTAGTTGTTAGCATGCGGAACAGATGGTCATTTAAATTAACGATTTTTTTTTCAACTATGGCTGCGTTGTGCTGCACAACTGACTTGTGCCCAACTTTTTCAGGGAGGCACTTGGTGAAAAATTTGACACAAGTTTTGTCGTACCAGTGATCAAAAAAATGATACAGTCAGGCCGCAACTATTCTCGAACTAATTCATCTCCTGCACCTTTAATGTATGAATATCACGGCAGGCAGTATCTCGGAGCGGCTCACGGCTTAATGGGTATTGTACAAATGTTGCTGAGGTACAAAAGTTTGAACTTTTCTTTATTGGTTAAGGTTCATTGTAGGTCACTCATTTTTCTTTCATATTTCTTTCTCATCTAATTGATGACATGGTTTTAGGCTGCTTGTTGTTTAACATTAATCTGTCATTTCTTTGTAATTAAGTATTGGTTCCACTTTCAGACTTTTTTAATTCTAATGGATCCATTTTTAAAATATCTGGAACGATTCATGTGTGGTCATTTTTTACTTCTCATGACTGCTCGGTTGTTTTAGCTTTTATGAGTATTTGGACGCTGAAGAAAGGAAAGACGTGATCGAAACTTTGGACTGGATAACCACTCTGCAGTTTCCTAATGGTAATTTTCCAAGCAACTGCGCGAAACTAAGTCAAAAACGCGACGGCGATGAGCTTGTTCAGTGGTGTCACGGTGCTGCGGGGGCTGTCTTCTTGTTTATCGTTGCATATTTGAAACTGAAGGACCAGAAGTACTTAGTGGTAAATCTTTAAAGAGTGAAGATTCCTCATATTTGAGAAGCTCATTCTGACGTTGGAATAAACTTTTTTGAGAATTGTGCTCGTTTGCTCTTTAGTTCTTTACGGATTATTTTTGCTAGCAGAGAAGTTTTTATGTGCGATTGATTTGTGTGTAGTTATTAAATTTTATTTTACCTCTTTGTTAAGATTAGACGTGGCTATATTTGTTATTTATTCATTGCTTGTTTGGTGGAGTTAGGAACGAAGTAGGGTCTCCTTTTCATTTATAGAAATATTCATAAATTATTGGTATTTTAAAATTGTGAAAGTGTTTGAGAATTTATTGCAAGGTCTTGCTTATTATTAAGTTTTGGCTGTTGCAAGGTGGCGGAAAAGGCGATAGATGTACTGTGGAAGAAGGGAGTCCTTTATAAAGGTCCAGGAATCTGCCATGGTGTTGCAGGGAATGGATACGCATTCTTGTTGTATTACCGACTCACGGGGCAAAAAGTTGGTCTTTTATTTAAGAGTAGTTTTGGGAAATTGTAAAGAATCTGTATTTCCAAAATTTTTTTCGTGTGAGAATTTTGACCACGTAGTTAGCAGTTTTAGAAATATCTTGAATACGCACAGTGTTTCGCTCGCGTGTTTTGTGGGTCCTCCTTTCAGTCTGCAGCTAGGACGCCCGATAGTCCATTTAGCCTCTATGAAGGGCTAGCTGGTTCACTTTGTTACCTTTGTGATCTTGTTCAGATTGAACGTGCTCAGTTTCCCCTTGTTCCAATACATTTTAATTAGTTTTTGAATGAATTGTACGTCTGTTGTTTTTGCGTAATTTGTAATACATAATTCTCATAATGGTTCTCGGGTTTGCAGAATGACTTCTTTTCAGTTGGTTTGAACCTTGTTTCACAACTTTGGAGTTTTTTCAATTTTCTTCTCATCAGTTGTTGTGCTGAAGCTCGGTTATGGCCATATTTCTGCTTTGTTTGACCGTCTTATTTATATGGTCCTGGTGCCATTTTCCGGTTCAGATTTTTTTACATGTTTTATTAATGTTCTCTTCGGTACTTGCTTTTTCATGAAATAAAGATTTTGAGGCTTCATTTTAAGGCAAGTAGGTGAACTTTTTGTGGGATTGTATTTACTAACTTTTCTGAACAGTGCTATTCATATGTGGTTACAAATTTTCTCTGTATGTCTGGTGTTGTTCAGCCATATAGGAAAAGAATAACTGTTTTAATTTGCTGTAGCTATGGTAATTTTATTTGATCTTATCGTTTAGTTTACTAGTGAGTGGTAGATGTCAGGACGGAAAATGTGTGGGTGAGACAGTTTCATTTGAATGTTTAGTTTTATACTCTTATTTATAGATGTACAGGTAAAAAAGCCAATCATTTTCGGTTACGTATTCGATTTATAAGAAAACTTGAGGGTTTCTTAACGCTGTTTGCAACATTTTTTTGTGAAATTTCTTGACGTAGATCAAAAGAATCCATTTGTAAACTTTGGAATTAATAAGCAACTGAAGCTCTCCAAGTTTTTTCGCAGTTACGTCTTGCTGGATTTTGGCGGTAATAGTCGCTGGCGTCGTATTGATTCACTCTTTGACGTTCTTCATTTCTGAAGTCTCCTATGCGATTTGAAATTTTGTTCCACTCACAGTATTTCTGTTGATCTGTAGGACGGCAGGCCATTTTATCGCCATCGGGTATTACCTGGAATATCATAAATTATGTTATATAAGCTCCTGGCTTTGTTAATGTTGTGGTGTGCGACCGGTATTTTCTTTATTATGAAGGTGGTACAAAATCACATAAAACCAGTCTTTCACTTCACTCGAAAGCTAGAACTTCACGAGCCAAAAATCAAATATCGCTTTGATAAGAAAAAATTTCTGGCCAGAGGTACAAGTTCTTAGGTTAGTGTCTATGTCTTCTTGCTGACTTCATTCAATCATAAATCTGCCGGTCAAAGTGTACTTAAGAATACGGTAAAATTCGTTCCTGGGTACTAAATTTGATGTTGCGTTCACCAATCGACCAATTTAAGTCAATGCAGCCTAGCAACATTATCACGGTTGTTGGCAAACGTAGTAGTGCAGTAGTGACAAAAAATGAGCACTGCCCGACATATTCCAGTGTTTATGTTTGAACTAGTTGTTTTAACATCATCGTTAAGCACGAACTGGTTTTTAGTCGTTGAATAAGAAGTATTTGCCATTTTTCAAGATATCATCTTCAGACTACTGGATTCGCTAGCACTAAAGATGAAACTAACCACTGGCTTTCTGATTCGTCGTTGGCCGGGGCTCTCTTTGATATTTTCAGACTCTCGAAGTCCTTTATAGCGTCGTCGAGACCCGTCGTCCGAGGTATCCACCGAAATCGGATCATAATTCCGATAATCCGGCTGAGGAATGTATACATTGTCATTATTACGAGGTGTAGAGCGCGAACGATGACGCATATTAGCCTTGAATTCCTGCACGTAACGCTTTCAAGTTTAGTGCTTAATAACAATGCAAGGATTAAGGTGATATGGACTTTTAAAGCCGTAAACCTTTTCCAAATTTTTAACCATTTACGCAATCGCAATTATTTACGAAATTGTTGAACTGAATAAAAAATACGGAAAACTGTTTGTTAGAACATCAGTTCTTCGGGGTAGAGAAATTTTTAAAAGCTGAGGCGTTGATGCCTCTAAAACAGACTTGCTGTTGTTGCTCGGAACTTCGTTGCTCATTTCTTAAAGCTTCACTGTCGAACATAGCAGCTTTTGAGCGAACGTCAGATCGTATTTGACTTAGTTCTCTCCTTGTGTCGTTTTCGTCACATAACTGTCCCTGCTGGGTAATTAACGTGGTTTTTTTCGTAGAATTGTGGAAAGAAGGCCCACTGGTCGCTGCGTGCTGTTCTACAGGAGTTGGTACACCGAAGTAACGTACTGGCATTTGATGTTTTGGATAGTCTAAAAATTGTTGTTGCTCTGCATTTTCAAGATGCATGTGGAAGGAAGGGGCGGTTTTGACCGTTCTTTCCACTGTATTTCAAAAGTTTTGGGACCGCTGCTCAGAGTTCTGCCACTGGCGACTTTTCTTTCTTTATGACAGATATTACTTATACTACGAAGTTATGAAATTAGATCGGTTGTTTTTTGGAGAATCTTAAGATTCACCTTCTTTTACGAAAGCGATTTCTCGGTCTAAGCGGTTTTCTACATCGTTGACCCAGCTGAAATCAATGTCGCTAACTTCTGTTTTCATATTGGAGCTTTGTGTTAAAGAGCTGATCGTTGAACCATATTCTGGGTTCCTGCAAACCGGTAGCATTACAATTTTAGATTCTTATTATTATTATTTTTTTTTTTGCTTCAAAATAATACTAGCTTTAGTTCAAAAACTGGCTACAGACACAGAAGAAGTTTAGTCAAAGTTTATACGCCAATTGGCTGTTTGAAGCGAGTATTTAGAATATTTTTCAGTGATTTTACATGGTGTAGCAGAGGTTGGAGACTTCAGGACTTCTAATAAAAGCAGAAAAAATGCTGGCATTTACTTCTTGAGTGACTGTAAACCGGAGGAAACAGGTGGCTGGATGGAGTAACTGGTTGAAGTGCCCGACAAAATCGCACTTTGATGCTTTTCGTAATTGTCCATTGTTGAAGGGGTCTAAATGAAACCACATGGACTGTGTCATATATTAACAAGTAAAAGTCTTGTAAAAAATAATGAACTAACCGACACAGGCATTGTAAATTTAAAATAAATCTTATCATAAAGTGAGCAAAACTGATTGAAAGTTTTAATCCGTTTTAACTTTACGGTAATCTGAATAAAATACTGATTAACTGCTTGTTACTGACACTACAGTTTGCTTTTTTTTGGCTTCTCACTGAGGTCGACAGCTTCGCTATGATGTATTTCATTTTCCTACTCTGGCGCAGCAGAAAATCAAGCTAACGGGACGGGATGGAGAGGGCTGGCTAGCACTATCTTAATACTAAAGTGTACAAGGTCCTTCACTGCGTGTTATTCGTTTCACTATTTTCAAAAACATTCTTTTGGCGCTAAGAAAATTGGCCCATTCCTGTATGAATCTTCAAAATACATTCAAAATATAAGCTTCGGAAATAGGCCATCATAAAAAAAAACTATAAATTTCAAATTTTTCTGTTCAATTTCGACCAACAGTCTTCCTAAATCTACAGGCTTTTGATAGATTTAAGTAAAGTATTTTTGAGTGCCCCGTTCCTCACACATCGCTCAAATGGAACTTAAAACCACAACGCTATGAAGTTGTAGTTCCATAAAAGTGTAAAGAATCATTCAGCCGTAAGGTCTGCTTTAGCTACAACGTAAAATTTTTTGCCGTTTCCTCTCCAGAAACCCAACGAATGTAGCATAAAAATGTTACTTTATAATATTATCCTTCAAAGCTATTTTCTAATAATACTTTTTATTGTTTCATAGAACTTTTTATATTAACGAACAAATATAGGTATTCAGACTTCTGAAATTTGTTCATTTATGATGCAAAGAGCAGTAACGAAGAAATACTACAAAGTTTTACAATTTTCTATCCCTAAAAGGATTGAAGAAAAAAGTTTCCTTAATGTTTTGCTCACCTGCGATTCGTCATGTCCACTCAATGAATTCCTCGAAAATAACTGAGCGTTACGTTCCAAAATCTGTTTTGCTTCCGGAGTGATCTTTATTGGAATAGTTCTTTCAGAAACACTGAATTCATTGAAGTCATTGTCAGATAAAGGTCTCTTTCCGCCTACTCGGTCACTAACACGTTGTATGCCACTGCTAGAAGAGGCTTTAAGGGGTTCACTGTCAAAATACCGATTTGAATAAGAACCGTTATTGGTTAACCGCTCTTGTTTCAGACTTCCATTGTTCGGCGAGGCTGATCCTAACTGATCACGCTTTTCGGTCTGAGGCGAATACCGGTCATCACTTTCTGTTTTGGAAGCATATGGCACATATTTTTCAACTTGTACAGAGGTTTTAATTTCATGACTATTTATGCATTCTTTATTCTCTTGCACACTGTTTTTATCTGCTGAAGACCTTCTGAATCTACCAGGTGGCTGCTGCTTATTAACGGTTTCATTTGCTGGCCGTCTGTCACTGTTTTGCCTTGAACTGTTTGATGAAGATTTTTCACTAGCGGTTTGCTTTTCATTCACCGCAGGCGAATTTTCTGAGTGCCTGGAAGATGGCGAGCGCAAAAACGACGATGAATGTTCCGTGTTAGATGATGTAATCCGACTATGGTCCGACAAGTTAGTCGATGGACAAGAAGTTTGACCTCTAATTTCAGATACAGTGTAACCGTTTGAGCAGTTGCTGAAATTATTCTATTATTTTAATAAAATAATGCACAAATATTATATATATATATATATATATATATATATATATAGGCCGAAATTTTTGAAAAGATTGCACTTAGTGGTAATAATTTATTTTCGCAGCTCTTTTTTCTTTTCACTAGCACTGATGCCGTTAGATTTCTCTTTAAATGACGGAAGTGTAGAAGTGTTTTAATAGTACGGAAGATTTTACGGCTGACTTTTCATTTACAACTAGTTCAAAATGTTGTTTTACTCTGTAAAAGTAAACCGAAATACAAAAACAGAGTAATGTTGGCAGCAGAGGAAGGAGTAAACGATGGTATTCAGATAATGAATCAACGAAAAAAAATTTAGTCAGAATATTTTTTTCTAAAGCTACCTGCTAATTGTCGATCTTGGAGGACCTGGCGGTACCTGAGGGATAACTTCTGCAAAGTGATGGCTCTTTCTTTGCTCTTTTCTGAGCCTCCAGCTTCGTTTGTTGACCGCCGATAGTTCCGCATAACCGTCCAGAACATGGCTGAAACATCTGTTACTTGGCGCTGTCTTTTGAATATTTAACACACGAGAAATATACAGTAATGTAAATGCTTTTTCTTCATTCTGGACGCCTGCTTTTGAAGAAGAAAAACAAATAAAGTACAGGTTCGAAACACTGTGAACTATGTTGCATGTACAGCTAAACAGATGGGAAAACCCAACCAAGTTGAGTAATTTGACTGTTGCCAAAGCAAAGGAAAAGGATATAAATTTTACCATTAAAAAGCATCAGACCCGTCCGCATAAAATGGCAAATTTAAAAACGGCTAATCGTTTTAAAGACTGTATTAAAAAATTATTAAAAAATACTGTTTAACGTTTAGACCGATCAATAAAACAAAGAAAATTTCCTAGGTTGCTAAAACGTCAGTAAAAATTGCACTATAAAACATAAAATTGCATTTTGAAAATGAAAATTCCTCATTATATTCTCTGAAGTAGAAAACAAGCAATTGTAAGCCCAAGTGAAATTAGAGTAAATTGCTGGCCAAGGTCATCAGTGAACATGTTCGTGGAGCTTTGAAGATAGAACAGAGGTCGACTTCAACAACACCTAATCACTTTGGGTTATTTTTTATGGCAACCGATGACGCAACAGCACCACTCGGACAGATAGTGGCGATAATAGAGGAGCAAGCCAAAATAGAACATAAATGGAGAACAATATCTGAGAATGTTAATTACCGTCCCGAAGGAAACGGCTCACAAATGCTTGATTTTCGTCTCCGTAATGATCAGTCAGTTTACTCAGAACGGAACTGCAAGCCTCTGTAAGTTTTTGTTTCCTAGTTAACAGCACCAATTTCTGTAAACTTTCGGAGAAAGTACCCCGGAATTTCTTCTTTCTTCATGTCTTTTCATTTCACCTAGCTCAACAGATATAATGAATCGATAAGAAAAAGCAATCAAATTTGAAAGAATTAAACGAAATTACTTATTAAGATTTTCAGCAGAAAATGCTCTAGAATATGGAGGTATCGTTGACAGTGCTGGTATCATGGGCGGCGGCATCGAACCAATTTTTTTCAGCAACTTTTTCTGTTTCTTTTGCATCTTTTTCACCTGTTTTGGGTTAAGTGATGGTAATGGAATGAACGGCGGTGGTAAGCTGTCGAGCATGAATTGTTCGTTAAGCGACAGGCGTGAACGACCATTTTTATAACACTGAAACGACTATATTTTATTGCTAGAATTCATTTATATTTTCTAGTGGACAAAAAAAAGTCAAGTGATAGAAGGAAAAATTGAAATTGTAAGGAAGAGGACAAGAGTGTAAGGTAGAAGAATTAGAACAGAATTCCAATGCTCTTCCTTTTTGCTTATCTGAAAAAACTTCTGACTAAAACTGAGCTTATTAACAAATTTGCTAGAAAACTGATCCATAAAAAATGAAGAAATTTCATGATCCAATGCAGCCTTTATCTACCCATCACTCTTGCTGAAACGTGGATGTGGTGATTCCAATGTGTAATTGTTGTTAAAATAAAAAAAAATTAAACGTTAACAAGACAAATAAATAAAATTAAAAAAAAAAATAGAAGTATAATATTTGGAATGATTGCACTGTTGCCCTCAGTTTTTTGACTTCCATTTTGTTCTTCTAAAAAACTTTTCTCCCAAAACTTTTGGAGGTGAAAAGTGTCTGAAAAATATAAATGAGG